TTTTTTTTTTATTGCTCTTAAATGGACAAATATATACTATATCCCTTTATATTTTGTATTATATCTTATCTCACCCATTTATTAAATATTAAAAATTTTAAGTTAAATGTAAATTTTTGGTTTCTTAACTTAAACTGTACAAGCTAGCACATCATTGCAAGTATCATAATTAAAATTAAAATTAAAATTAAACTGTACAAGCTTCAACATCATTCCTAGTATCATAATTAGAGCAATGCTAGGGGCACTCGCTTTTCGCACTCTACGGTTAACACTTTCTCTTGTATTGGGCCACGTTATCTTGGTTCCGATAAGTTGCGCCTGAAAGCTTGAAAGAAGCTTACGTGGCCCAATGCAAGGGGAAGTGTTGGCCGGAGAGTGCGAAAAGCGAGTGCCCCTAGCATTGCTCTCATAATTGTGGCCAGACACATCAGGGCAAGAAAGAAACAAAGAGATAGAAATCTACTAATCGGACCGATGGCTTACGCGTTTTGTTTTATTGAAAGAGGTGGAATGTTCATCAAATTTACGGATCAAATCTTTAATTGTTAATAATTAATAAAATTTACCTACTAATTATTGGTTTTGTTAAAAAAAAAAAAAAACAAAGAGATATGACATGACACTTCATCGTCACCAGACGACGAAACAGGGCAAGAAAGTGTGATCATGGTAATAAATTATTGTGTGGATAATACAATTTGGGGGGTCTGAAAATTGTGATGTCTTGGCACTTAAAACATTCATTATAATTATGCATTGAATAGATTTTAAGGATAAGATTCACTAAAAAATAATTGTAATGGACATTTTAATTTTCATATTTTTATATCATTTAAGTGACAGTTTATTATTTTATTGTTATTTTTCTTTAAACATGCCCTAAGATTCGTGTGGCCGTAATAAATTAACAATTTTAGACAAAGCTAGCACAAAAAGAATTATTTTTATTGTACAATTGAAAAAAAAAAAACACTGATTGCAGCTTTGTTTTTTTTGGCCAGCAGACCTGCACCAAAGTATACAGCCATTTTTTTTTTTAAACTGTTAGACTCCATCTCTAGAAAATAAAATTTTTTAACACAATTTTGATAAATTTTTTTAAATAAAAAATTTAGAGATAATTTATATTTATATTTGTATTACCCTTAAAAAAATAAAAATAAAAAAGAAATTTTTTTAATATGATAAATAATTATAAATAAAGAATAATGATAAAGTTAAAGTAGAAAAAAAAATTTATTACCTTTAAAATATAAAAATATTAATTTAAGAAATTAAAAATAAAAAATGTTATTATTATAATATAAAAGAGTAACA